ATTAAAAAAAACCGCCCTAACCCTCAAAAAATTCTAACAGGGTTTTTCAGTGTTGTAAACGACAGAAGAAAGTCTACCAAAATCTGTAAACCGGAAGTGGGTTAAAACCGAGTCAGTTCCAAGGTGGCCGCCGCTGACCCTGAAAATCAGGAAGGGTGGCTCTAACTTCCTTATTAGATGTAGAACAATAATTTTTGTATCTAACCTAGGGTTTTAAGGGTCAAGGAATTTATTGGTGCCAATGGATTTATGACTTGGTCCATCAAAAACATAAATCGAAGATGGTGGTAAAATGGAGGCCAACACTCCCAAACGATTTGATATAGGCCAGTGGTTTTGGCTTCATTTTTTTTTCTTCATTAGATATTAGTTATTTTGACCTTCGTACAGTGTTTTCTTGAATATTGATGATTTTTATCTCTATTTCAATATAAAATGAGTCAGTTGTGGCTAGGATATCAGTGGATGCTTTGTACTGCATGAGTGCTGATCAAAGCAGAGCGCACTGGGTCTTGGCTGAATCACTTGCCTGCTGTTTCCGACGCCTTGACAATATTTGCTGCAGCAGGACACTACAACTTCCTGAAGTCTGCCTCTCTCTACATCCAAGAAATGAGTGAACTGGAGAGCAAACACCCAGATGTCGACAGGAAGTTTCAAGAAGGCTTCCATGTCATTCGTCGAACAAATCGGTCTTGGGCAGGCCTCGGTTGCGATCTAGTCATCGAACAAACACTTAAGTCATTAAAAAGCACAGGTGGCCTGACTCATGGCAGTAAGATGACGGAAGAACAGCGAGCATTGTGGACAATGTCAGCCTCCATAATGTCTGAGTTCAACACTGCCATGCAGGAGTTCAATGATCTCACATCCTCCAAAGGTGAACAACACAAAGATTCAACTGATGCCAGAATTGAAAGAGACATATCAGACCTTTCTAAGATAAGCACAAAGCTGATTTCATGTTCACCTTTCTCCTCTGACCCTTCATTGAGAAATATCATCAATGGTATGGTGGCGAAAGAAGACGTCAATGTGCACGAATACGAATCCATTGGAAGGAACATCATTGACAGAATGATTGGACAGCCTGTATTTTCCTTCTCTTTCAAGAGGAAAGACAAAGCCAAGACCCTGGGAAATTCATCTGCTATCAAGGTTGCTCCTGACAGAGCCATTGATCCTGGTCTACTGTTCCAGCGATTCCTTGTAGTGTTCAGGACAGGACATTTGTCTCCAGAGGAGGTGATGAGATATGAGCGGAGTCTGTACCCGTCATCCCTTTTTGAGGACAAAACATCTTGAAAAAGGCCAACAAGCCTCAACTAGCCCAAGCCATTGATGACCATTGTAACAAGATACCATCAAGTGAAGCAACATCAGATGCTATCCTGAAGATTGAAAGTTATGTGCTTGACTGAGGCTCCTTACTACACAGGCTGAAGTGGAGGAGGGGAGATACCTATGGTAAAATAGCCAAGGCATATGCTGACTTTACAAGTAAGCACTATGGGGCAGCAACTGCTGTGTTTGATGGGTATGGGGCAGGTCCCTTGATTAAGGATAACGCACACCAGAGATGGGAACAAACTATCGAGTATCCGGTTGTGAACTTCACCAGTGAAACCGAATTTGAAGGGATGCAGGAAGAATTCCTTCCAAGGGGAACTAACAAGCAACAACTAATCAGCTTAATAAGTGATGAACTGATGACTGTACGGTCATTCAGGCAGAAGGGGACGCTGATGTGGACATCACAAAGGCCGCAGTTAACACTACAAATGCACATTCCACCACGCTGATTGGAGAGGACACTGACTTGTTAATTCTTCTTCTCCATTACGCCACAGCTGATGGCAAACCACTGTATTTTAGATCGGACAGTCAGTCAAGAGGTATTCCAAAAGTGTACAACATCAATTGCATAAAGAGTGTTCTTGGCAGTGAGTTGTGTACACAATTGTTATTTCTTCATGCTTTCACAGGATACGATTCAACGTCTCATGTTTATGGTATTGGAAAGAAATCGGCCTTCCAAAAACTTGTGAAAGTGATCCAGTCCGCCAATCCTGTGCAAACGCATTCACTTTACCAGGCAAGAACCGCACTGACATAGAAAACCTTTGCAGCCAAGCGATGGATGTTATGTTTGGTGGGAAAAGCACTTGTTCTCTGGCAGCCTTGTGTTATGACATACTCACTAAGAAAGTCGTCTCTGCAAAATCATTTGTTATGCCCGAACGTCTTCCCCCAACTGAGTCTTCCACCAAATTCCATTGTCTCAGGGTGTACTTTCAGACCATGACATGGATGGGGATGGAGTGATATTGATCCTTTGAACTGGGGTTGGAGACTTGAAGACAATCAACTTGTACCCATAATGTCTGATATGAATGCTGCACCTGACACCTATTGAAAATGGTACATTGCAATTGCACAACTGGTTGCAGTAACCCCCATTGCAGTTGCAGAAGATATGGGCTTCCATATACCTCTGCATGTGGATCATGCCAACTTGCGTCCTGTGGCAATCCGCACAACCAGCTTTTAGAGGAACTAGAGGACAGTTTTGAGGATAAAAGGAGACGGTGAAAGAGTGAATTATTATTATATTTTTTTTTTTACTATTGCATTTAGTATGTATAAGAATTTTCACTGAATCTTTCAGTGTACTCTCTGAAATAAATAAATCTGAAACGTGTCAATAAAATTTACTCTAAAAAAATGGATATTTGCATTCTTTGGCCCTAAAACTGCTTTTCAGGTGAAATAATATGGGAGTTATTGGTATTGGTGCCTTCATTCATGATTGTTGGCCGCAATCTTTGATTTAAGGGTCTGAATAGTCGGATTGAAATTTTATTGGCACCAATGAATTCCTTGACCCTTAAAAACCCTAGATTAGATACAAAAATGATTGTTCTACACCTAATAATAAGGATGTTACAGCCACCTTCCTGATTTTCAGGGTCAGCAGTGGCTGTCTTGGAACTGACCCAGTTTTAACCCACTTCCAGTGGTCAGATTTTGGTAGACTTTTTTCTGTCATTCACTACACCCAGTAGGGCCAAAACCATTAGCAGATCTTTTGTTAGAATTTTTTTGGGGGTCTGATGGTATATTTACCATGATCCAATGATCTGAGATAGGCCCGTACACATTTCTCATATGAGGTAGAACCAGAGCATATTCTGCTGTTTCAAACAGTTTCTTCCCTACACCCTTATATTCAAAAAATTTCTCTCTCTTTGACTGTACAAATGTTTTAAAAGATTTCAGTGCCAATACTGCAGAACTGAGACCCATTTTAGGGACCTGTAGTTAGTGGTATGTTGCATTGAACCTTTCCAAAATATCATTCCATAATGAAGTATACAATAAGATTTCAAGTTTTTCCATCTTCTCATTAAGACTGTTGGTTTCATTGTGAGCGACTTCTTTTTACTTTATCTAATGCTTCGCCTATCTTTCGTTGCATCAGCTCGGTAAGACCAACGAGTTTCACTCAACCTTTTGAGCACATACAATCAAGTGTCGGCGTGGGACAACTTTTGCTTCAGAACTGCATAACGTGCTTGAGATAATGTGAAAATTACATAAAGATGTATGAAATCAAAATAGCATACAGCTGCAGAGCAAATATTGGCTACAGCTTTCCCAACTAAATTAAGAGAATGTCCACAACATAGTACAAGTACTGACAAATTATTTTGTTCTATGAAGGCTTGCATTCCTTGGTACTTGGCAGTCATTGTGACAGTGCAAAATCCAAGCAGTGCATTAGCCATAACAACACCTGTGTGCCCACATTTGAACATGAATGTCAGAAACCTTTAGTTTTGGAGATGTGCACTTCCTCTAACATATAACCAAAGTCAACTGGTCATGTGAGGCTCATCAGGGATGGAATCATGTGACACAGAATAATACTTTGATTCCTTAATTGTTACAATTATCTGCTTTAAGATGTGTTCGTCCATTATCCCAATTATTTCTCCACAAACTGTGGATAAGAGGTAATTCGTATGACCATGTCCTTCATTTGCGTTGAGCTTGGTATGAGCAGCGAGAAATGGCTTATGCTCTGAGCAATTCCAAAATGGCAAGATAGTTTCCATTTGTTTGTGATCCAATCACTTCATCATCTTCCACGAAAAGTCAATCCATGTTCAGTAATAAATTTGATGGAAAGCATAACATGCTTGAGAGGTTTACACCAGTATCCACACAACTCTACTTCTTGTTTTGCCAAATCCTGGTTAACTCCTCCAAGTACAGTAAAAAAAAAATATATATATACAGTATATGTATAAAGTCGTGTTACAAAGCCAACTTTGAGGTTCTAATCTGATTGGGGAACATTACCAAAATTCTTCGTCATGGGTTTCAGAACATAAGTCATGGTATGTGTAACACAGCTTTTTTCTTTTGGCTTTACCCTCCCACGCTTTGCCAAAATGAATGCCCAGAACTCGATCTGCTTTTTGTGGGCCTGCGGTCTCTAACCTAGGTTACCCCCTCTTTAATCCAGCATTGATGTTACACCTAGATATGCTGAAGTTCACCAAGTTATGTCTATGTACACCTAGGTTACCCCACAAGAGCACCATGGTATTATCAGTGAACACCATTTCCAGCTATAGGATTTCAGTATGATGATAATGATTTTTGCAGGTCAGGGTTTCACATTTGTTGCTCAGAATCTGATATACTGTACTTGGATCTGAGTGCTAACATAGTTAGTCTTAGTTAGAGAGACACTCCTGTAATTGATGGGTTTCTGTCCAAGAAGTTAATTTCACTGTGAGTGATCTCTCACAGTAAGCCCCCTGTTATGTGTAACGGAAGGAAAGATGATTGCATCAGAGAAATATTTGTTTATTATGCTTAATATACAGTATAAAGACAGTCCTCTAAAGTATTTTAATAAGATGTAATTTCACTTGTAGGGATTTGTAGAAGTATGACTTTACTAGTACATATTTGCATATATTTTACAGGCGGCAGTTGATATACTGCGTGGAGAAACAGCTCCTGAGTGAACACAAAACCATTCTGCTACAGAAGGGGTTAGACTCACTCTTAGTTCAGAACCGCCGTCACGACCTCTCCCTCCTATATAATCTTTTTGCTCGCATTAAGGGAGGATTGGAGGACCTTTGTACCCACTTTAATGCATATATTAAGGTGAGTGTATACCTGTACTCTTAAATTTTCACAATTTGCCATTATGTTCCTGTTGCCTACCTGCATATTTTTTACAGAGATTGCCATAGTAAGTTCTTCTGAAACACTCCTGATTTTGCTTTTTTACTTGTTATATTTCAGAGTTAACTACCTGCCCAAATTATAAGACTATTACTATTGATTTTTACTCAGTTGATTTGGTAGCCTTGACTTGTTATGGAAGCAACGTAAGTAAAAAAGCAATATTTTAACCATTGTTCTCACTTCTATTGGTCACATTTACATGTGCTACATATTACTCAAACTCTGAATTCATGAAAAATGGCTGGCCAGCTTTATTTGGAGATTTGCTTTTGTTTTAGCTGCTCATGTTGCAGCAATATGAAAGTGCTTGTATAACATGGCAAATGTAACTGGTAGAAAAATCTCACACTTCATTATATAATGCACATCTTGTGGAATAGCAAGTCTATTTACATGACAATTTCTAGTATAAAGTAGATTTTGGTTACAGAAAACAAAAACCTTGGAAGGGGTTTGATAAAGAAGAATAAGATCACAGGTGATGCAGGAGAGTCAAGGGCTTAATAGAGTTGGTCTGATCTCTCCCATGAGAAGTCTTGTTCAGAATTTAGGGAAAAAAATGAAGTCATATATAGCTAGCTATAGGAATTTCCCATACTGTGAAAATGAAATTGTGTATTAAATTCTTGATATCTTAGGAAATCCATCTAGAAGCTTTGAATATATTGTAATCTATTAATAATCTCTCTGATATATTACATAAGAACATAAGAAAATAAGGAGTCTGCAATAGGCCGGTTGGCCTGTGCATGGCAGCTCCTGTCGAGAGTTACAACCACTCTCTATCATCCATGAATCTATCCAGTCTCCTTTTGAAACTTTCCAGAGCTCCAGCACTTACTACAAAGTTGCTAAGCTTGTTCCACTCGTCCACCACCCTATTTGCGAACCAGTTTCTTCCTATCTCCCTCCCTCATTGCTTTTTATTTACAACTTACAACAGTGGAGACCAGCAGTCATGTGTGTTTCTTTTGTGCCTGAGACTTTTTGTAATTTGGTGTGAATACTATATACAGTGGTCCCTCAGTTAACGAACACAATTCGTTCCAGAAGGTCGTTCGTTAACCGAAACCATTGTTTCAATGGGATTTTGGGTAATTGGTTCCAGCTCACTGAAAATTACATACAAAGTAAAAAAAATGCAGTAAAGTACACTTACTTTGAGGTGTGTATGTAGAAGGCTCCTGGTTGATGATGATGATGATGATGATGATGATGGGAATTAGAAGTGGGGGTGGAGGAGAAGGGAGAAGAGAAGGAAGTGGGGGTGGAAGAGAAATCACCCCATGCTTCATGCCGTCATTTCACCCATAAAATTTTAAGTTCACTAGGTGTAATTCAAGATTATTTTCTTTAAATCAACACTGCACTGCACTATATATTGTCAATATGTTAAATAAATTTCAGAATGACCAATAATTGTACTGTAAAAACGTAAAAATGCTCTGTGTTCAAGAGACCCACAAGCAAGATGTTTCCTCCACTGAACAGAGATACAAACTGAGGCCTTGGTTGGTGAGTGAAGTGGCTGTTGGGTGCACCAAAAACTAGTTCCCTGTACTGCAATTATGTTAGATAAGTGTTAAAATGACTAAAAAATTTAATATAAAAACTTGGAAAATTATTGAATAGTACAACCTTCTTGATATTTACTCCAATTTTAACAAATGTAAGCCCTAGAACCGATTTCTGTATTGGCGGACTAATCTTCCAGCTGGTGAGCAAGCCAAAGCATGTCGAAACATTTTCGTAAGAATTTTGTTAACCGAATTGAATATTCTTATGGAAGGTAATTCGTTAACCAAAATTTTTTTAACTGAGGCGTTTGTTAACCGAGGGACCACTGTACTGTATAGCACATTTATATCTGAGAATGAATTAGGTAACCTCCCAGAAGTTATGTTCCCTTAAATTTGAACATCTGGATATAGATTTTTTTTTTTTTTTATAAAGTTTGAGAGTTTGCTTTAGCTCAGACAGCTCATTTCATTGTTTTACCATGATTAATATCATCTTGACAACTTCATATGTGACTCATGCATAAATTCTTATTCAGGGTATTCTTGCATTTTCAGTCATATGGGAAAACAATTGTAATCAACCCTGAAAAAGATAAGGGAATGGTACAAGAGCTGTTGGACTTTAAGGACAAGATGGATGGTATCGTCTCAGAATGTTTCAACTCTTCTGATAAGTTTGTCTTAGCTCTTAAGGAAGCATTTGAGCATTTTATAAATCAGAGACTCAACAAACCAGCTGAGTTAATAGGTATGTTTAAAGTGTTGTGTTACAAGTTGTATGTTGTTGATAGTCTTCTTTTTTATTCACACAATTTAAATTTAGGTTTCCTCTTTATCATTATCTTAATCATCTTTGAATAGTTATTCCATTATGTCCAGATTGCTGGAGCTTTTGAAGTGTTCTCAAACTGCTACTTCCTGATCAAAGCATGTCTCATATTTTTCACAAAAGCGTTTGATAAAATCAATAAAAAAGTTGAATTTTGATAAAATCAATAAGAATATTGAATTTAATATGTTATGGCAAAAATAGGTTATGGTACCATGGCTACCAAGATTAACTTTTGTCAATACTTTGTGTTAGAAATGATAAATGTTTCAGAGATGGTGTTGATGTTTATATGGAGTGGGTTTTTGTAATATAAATTCATAAAATTAAACTCTTAGAGAATGTAAATAAACACGTAACTTTTATCACGCTGGATATTACAGTCTACCCTACTAAAATCGTTTTCTTTAGTACAGTAAAGAAGTAAAAATTACTATACTGTACAGTAAACCCTTGTTATTCGCGAGGGATAGGTTCCAAGGAATGGTGCGAATAGCAACTTATACCTCAGTAAGTCCTTGCTTAGCGTCGGGGTTACGTTTCTAAAAATGCAACGTTATACAAAACAACGTTATGTGGATCAATTTTCCTGAGCCTCCCTCTGCCCCATGAAATACATAACATATACAGAAAATCATTGCCATTTCTATAGAAAATAGTGCATACATATACAACTAGCAAGTTTTTATTAGTACTCACCGATGGTCAGAGGTGGTAGAGCGAGCGTGTGGTGGGTAGTGAAGCAGAGGAGGTGGATGGCGAGAGCAAAGGAGGAGGGCGGGAGAGGAGGAGGGAGGTGAGTCACTGAGACTCTGCGACAAGCCAAGAGAGTTTAGCGCACCCAGACGAGTGGATGCGCTGTAGAAAGTAGTATCGGATCACCGGGACGTTAAATGAATTTTTGGTCTCTTAAACTTTAGCTACGTAATACCGAAACAATGTTAAGCGGGACGACGTTAAGCGCGGACTTACTGTATACCTATACCAAACAACCGACCAGCCTGGCACCACTCATACCCCCCCCTCCCCCCCACCCCCCTTTTTTTTTTTAACTTGTCTAATAATTCAACTTTCTTTGTCAGGGTCATCACTGACTTCTGCTTTTTACATTTCACTCCACTAGCATCACTAGCACTGACACTAGGCAGTCTTTTAGGGGCCATTTCACGCAGAAACACTAAAGTTTTGAGAGTACAACACGAGATGCTGCGGGGGTTAATTCTTTGTGCTGGGGGAAAAAAGCTTGCAAGCTTGTCACCATCTGCTTACCGCGAATCGTCGAAATTGTGAATCGCAAACCCGCGAATGGAAAGGGCCTACTGTACTCTTGAACTTAGAAATAAAGATAATATACTAAAAAAATATAGAATAAGATAAATAAAGAGCATTGGTGTGTATATGCGGAGGCAGTGAGCTGTATTGCGTTGCCAAGGATCGCTAGCTCGCCTGTGTCCCTCCCCCAGTGTGATGTCACAGTACACACACACAGGTCTCGGAATCAGCTGGTTGAATGCCTGGCTGAATTGTGTGGCATCACCCAGATGATGGTTTGAGTGTGGAAGAAGCTATTTTTTGTACATAATGTATGTGTTATTGTATTTTATGATATATATCAATTTTATTATTCATCATAAAAATTTTTGTTCACGAAGCGGTTATAGTACTAATGGTGGCAGACATGCGAATGAATTACTTAAGTTGCATTTGGATTGTTGGACTAGATTAGAATTTTTACTGAACAAGACCAAAGGGGACAAAGTTCAGATACCCAGAAAATTATAGTTAGAATTTGGATAAAGGGAATTTCACTAAAAATTAAATAAAGTCTACGGCATTGGACTTATCATAAAAGTGGAGATGTTCTATGTACAGTTTGTCTGACATGAATGGAGGAGGTTGTTGGGTGTTAATGGGTCAGTACCACAAGAACCAAATTTTACCAGGGAGTGCTGAATATTAATTCTGGTGCCCTAGATATTCTGTGGTGCAATGTACTGTATAGCACCTACCCAAAATATTGGGGTGCTACAGCACCCTCCCCTCCTGCATCCATGTATTAGGTGGAGTGAGAGGGGGAGGATGGTGTGGCACACACAAGAGAACTAACTAACCTCTGAGTGTGTACGGGAGATGCGCATCTGCCAATGGTCGGTCTAAAAAACCTAATAACTCCACAGATAGCTGAATTCCAATTGCAAATTTCAAATGAAGGGTCACTAATAATTTTTCGTCAATAAGTGAATTCACAAATCCGGGGGGGATAAGTACAAGTACTCTTTTCAATGTAATTTTGTAAGAAAAACAATACCTTGTCAAACATATATTATATAGAGATCTTTCGTTTGGATAGCTCTGGCCATTTGTTTCTTTTTTTTTAGCTGATGGTAATAGGCTAAGAATCTTCCCCCATCCCTTGCAGCTTATTAACTTATACAGTAAACCCTTGTTATTCGTGGAGGTTAGGTTCCAAGGAATGGCACGAATAGGCAAAACTGCGAATAGCAACTTATACTACCTTAGTGCACTACTGTATACCTTGTACCTATACTGTACCAAACAACAGACCAGCCGCAGCAGTACTCATCCCCTCTTTTAACTTATCTAATAATTCAACTTTCTTTGTCAGGGGGTCATCACTGACTTCTGCCTTTTACGTTTCACTCCACTAGCACTAACACTAGGCAGTCTTTTAAGGGCCATTTTCACACAGAAACACTAAAGTTTTGAGAGTACAACACGAGATGCTGCGTGTGATGACTCATTGTGCTGCGGGAAAAGGCTCACAAGCTAGACCACCATCTGCTTACCGTGAATCGCAAACCCGCAAATGCCAAGGGTCTACTGTACATAATGTTCGAATAATATTTGATATATCACAAATAAATCCACGTGCAACTATTAAGGATACCCAGTTCTGGCACACTTTAATGCTGATATTAATGTCTGTAAAGATGAAATTGCTTGAAAACATTAACTTTCAAGATATGAGTGGAAAAAACATGGAATGTAAAGAATTTTTGCTGTCAAGGTCATAAACACATTTGCCACTACTTCTCTTTTCACTAATTATTATGTATATATAAAGACAAATGACACCAATCATATAAGGCAATGGATAATAATGACTATTTTTAAAAAGTAGAATCAAGTGTAAATACCACATATTCACATAAAGGTGTCATCTAAGAAATGTTATAGGGAGGTAGTGTGCTTGGTGGGAGAGCTGTGTCCCTCACACCCGCACCTAGACCTACAACCCCCAACCTCCTCCACCCTCTCCCCACCCCACTCAGATGCCCAGGACAGTTGCCACTAGTCCCATTTTCACTTATTTAGGCTGTAAACCTGTTACTAGTAAGCACAGAAAATTTGTAAATACAAGTGTTTTAAAACAATGCCGTCCTGCTGTTTTAAAACGGAGGTCACACTTAATGGGTTAATCGTAACTCTTTTCTCATTCACAGCCAAGTTTGTTGATGGTAAGCTACGTGCAGGTAACAAAGAAGCAACTGAAGATGAACTTGAGCGACTCCTAGATAAGATTATGGTTCTTTTTAGATTTATTCATGGGAAAGATGTATTTGAAGCTTTTTATAAGAAAGTAAGTTTATAAAGCTTCTTTCATAATACTAACCCTACATCTCATGCATGAAGATTATTTTTTAATAAAGTGTCAAACTACTACTTGTTTGATGATAATACAGAGGCCATTAATAACTTATGAGTCCTCTGATCAAGGCATTTTTTAAATTCTTCTGTAAACACACTGTACTTGCATACATATTTCTTGATTTTCATTCTATCATGCCAACCCCTAATCTTAGAGTCTTGGAGGAAAAAAGACAGTTCAACATACATATTAGAATTAAATATATATTTTCTTATTATTATCATTAACTATTTAACTGTTTTTGCAGAGTTAATATTACACTATTTATAGGACTTAAATGAAAATGGATATATAATTTAATGAAGAATGGGTTGCAGCAGTTGGTATTATATTGCATTGTGCAAAAAGCTCTTAGTGCAAAGGATGTATGGGGTATTCATGATTGCTTAACAGCTTTTGCTATTTTTTCAAAACTATTTTGCTACTTGACAAAGTTGTTATTGTTGTTATTATTATTATTATTATTATTATTATTATTATTATTATTATTATTATTATTATTATTATTATTATTATTATTATTATATATTTTTATTTTTTCAGGATCTTGCTAAGCGATTGTTAGTGGGCAAATCTGCCAGTGTAGATGCAGAAAAGAGTATGCTGAGTAAACTAAAACAAGAATGTGGTCCTGGCTTTACTAGCAAATTAGAAGGCATGTTTAAAGACATGGAATTGTCCAAAGATATAATGTTGGCCTTCAAGCAGGTGAGGATAATGTAACTTTAGTATTACCATGGATGCCATATGAATAATGATTCTTGGTTGTAATGAGGACAGATTTATCAGTCTGTCATGAGAGAGTAGATATTTTAATGTAAGGGAAGGAGTGATGGATGATGAACACCTCTACTGTATATATTTCAGAAGCTCTGTGAAGAGTATTTGCTATAATGGGAATGTACATTAAATTTATACAATGGGAAAGTACATTGAACATATACATGGAGAAAGTACATTGAACTTATATCCTTAAAGGTTATGGTATACAGGTACTCTGTTTTGTATGTAGCATTTTTACCCTTTAATTTTGTGATATAACCTTGCAACACATTTAGCATCAGACCATTGTGCTGCTGACCACACCATCAGCAGACAGTTCAATACCTTCTTTATATTTTATATTCTAGAACAGTTATGAGACAATGTAAGTAAAGTGCACATGATTCTTTCTCAGTCATCAAGGATAAATTTAGGCAAACCCTGCTGATTGTAGATATCACCAGTTGTAAATCAAAGAATATGGAGCAGCCTGTACTGTAAATGTTGAAATAAAAAATGCAATTGTTTTTATAAGATGTATGAAAACTTTGAAGTAAAGATATGGGTGCCAGGAAGCAAACCTACATTACTGTACAGTGAACCCTAGAAGATCCTGACTAAAAGGGGGGGGACCACCTGTCCGGAAAAGCCGATTGTCCATATCTTTGTGTGTATATTCCTCCTGTGGCTGTTTTGAGTGGAAACCAAACATGTGGTAGTCTGATGATGTAAGATCTAAACTGTGTGCGGGGTGCGGCAAGATCTTCACAAAAAATTTTGCTCATTGTACTGGTGCAATGTAGGTGTTGAAAATTCGACAGGTCGTCTGACACGATCTTCATCCACAACTCTTGTTTGACCATTCTTGAATTGTTCAACCCACTTGTAAATGTTCGTTCAACTGATGCAATTGCTTCCATATTGAAGTCGTAACATGATCGTTGCACTTTCCCCTCCCCTTTGCTGTTAGTTATTGAAGGGTCCCCGTAGGTAGATATAAATTAATTTCCCACTTTGTGTGTGTGTATCACAGGATTGAGAATATAATCACAAGTGTATTAAAAGTATGCATTTTGTCAAAGGACATTCTGCATTCCTCAAAAATGATCTAATTCTTATTAACATTTCCAGAATTCACAGCTGGGCAGCACACCAATGGAGCTCAATGTAAACATCTTGACAATGGGTTACTGGCCAAACTACCCAGTAATGGAAGTCAACATGCCACCAGAGATGGTCAATTACCAACAGATCTTCACAAAATTTTACCTAGCTAAACACAGTAATAGAAAACTGCAGGTCAGTTCATTACACTATTGAAGTCCCTCAACATATTAGTAAGGCAAATATGTAAAAAAAAAAAAAAAAAAAACATGTTCACTTCTGGCAAAAGCACCAAATTTTGCATACTGGGTTTTGTAAGAGTGCTGAATCCAATGAGAAAGGTAGATATTGGTTACAATAAAATCACCCTTTAGAAAAAGGGGTAAAAAACTTGGCGGTTAAATTCTTTTAAGTAAAACTATTAAGTTATGTATTTATTATTCATTTATTTTTTTTACCTCACTCTGACATCAAGAAAGTATCCTCTCAATGCCTCAGTCTGATGTATCGCAGATTCAATCCTGTACCCAGGAATATGCCGACAGTCGAATGATGTTACATGCAGCACAGGCATTCAGACATGGCCCTAACAAAATTCTCATTCAGGCTAAAAATACAGATGTTATTGTACTTGCAATTGCAACAGCAAGTGTCCTTCACAATTGTGAATTTTGGGTTGCTTTCAGCCATGGAAAAACATTTTGTTGCATAGCAACACGCATTATATATTATAGCATCAATCCTTGGTCCAGTGAAGTCCAATGGCTTGTTATTCCTTCATGCTGTGTCGGGTTGTGACACCGTCTGCTCTCTCTGGGATAGGCAAAAAGACAGCTTGGGAGATTTGGAGTCTTCATCTCATTTTGAGACCTATTCAACAGACTGTCAAATTCTCTTGACCAAATTAGCACTGCTGACATGGAAGTACTAGAAAAATATGTGGTCCTGCTATACAGTAGGACATCTGTTCTATCGACAGTCAATGAGGCAAGAAAGAAATTCTTTTCTTCTGGTAATTGCCTGCTAGAAAACTTCCCACCTAGCAAGGCTAATCTACAGCAACAGTTGAAGAGAGTAGTCTATCAAGCAGGTCATGTTCTTCCTTCCCTGGCAGACTGGGGCTGGACTAGAGAGGAAGAAAACTGGTGTCCTCTTTGGAGCTCACTTCCTGCGGCATCCAAGGCATGTCGTGAACTAGTGAAATGCAACTGCAAAACAAACTGCAGAGGGAAATGTTCCATATACAAGGCCAATTCACCTTGCACACAGTTATGTGCCTGTGATGGTTAGTGTACCCAGTAACTAATCCAGCCACTGAGCAATTGACCTGCCTATTTAAGGTACCTTTTAGTTACAGGTGAGTGTGAGTCAGTCTTGTGTTTGTAAGTTTCATATAATAAGTATGTTTTAAAACTAGTGTTAAGTTTTGTATAATAGATAAATATTATAACTAGTTACTAGGATTTTTTTAATTGGTCTTCCGTAGGATTTTAAAGTTGGTTGATTACGATTGATTCTGGTCATTGGCACATTGTATACAAGATGGCCATTATTTTCATGTCAAGACAGTACAATAGATATCCATGCAGAAAATGGTGATAAAGTAAAGCCTCGAATAACGACGTTAATGTGTCCTCCAATATTGCAGTGTAAGGTGAATCGTCTTATCGCGAATCATTAATTACCATTAAAATAAAGCAATAATAATGAGATGGGCTCCCAAGTGTGACCTTTTCATATCTTTTGTGTGGCTTTTTACCCTCTTTTCCCCCCAAAACAATACAATTAATGAAAATTGCAAACTCTATTCTTTAGATAATGTTTCTGAATGCACCTTATACAATATAAATGAATAATAATATGGTCACACAAGAGGAGATGGGACGCCATTGTTTTCATTTGTGTTTACAGCCGAGAGTCCGGGACGATAGTTCTACAGGAGAAAATGAAGAAAATAAGACCCTGGTTGTAGCTGTAGTAAAATTAATGTAAAACGATGAATATATATGTTTTAAGTAACGTTATTTAATGTAAATAAATGGAACGATAGAAGTAGCTAACCACTAATGACAAATAAAAAAAAAGAGAGATGGATTGGGAACGCCAACATATACGTGAACATTTAAGGATACTGCGTCATTTATCTTTTTAAGAATATGTACAAAAGATTCATTATTGTTTATTACTGAATATGTATTTGATTGAATTATTCTTTATACATAGAAATGAACAATACAATTCATTAATAATACGTGGAATATTAAAACACACAAGAGGATAAGAGACGGCATTGTTGTCCATGTTTACACCCATGTCAGTTATCCACCTGAAACTGAAGAAAATCAGACCCTGGTTGTTGTTGTAGTAAAATTAATGTAAAAAATATTTATGTTTTAAGTAATGTTATTTAATTTACAGTAGAAGTAACCATTAATATTAAAGAAAAGTGAGACCGATAGTGGGACGCCAATGTATACGTGCGCACTCAAGGAAACAGTCATTTATCAAGAATATGTACCAAAGATTCATTATTGTTTGTTACTGAATATGTATTTGATTGCATTAATGTTTATATATGTGCAAATGAGCAATGCAATTCATTAATAATACATAGAATATTAAAACACACGAGGAGACAAGACAGCATTGTTTTCGTGAGTGACGATGGTTCTACATAAGAAACCGAAGAAAATAAGACCCTGGTTGTAGCTGTAGTGAACTTAATTTAAAAAAAATTGAATACCTGTATGTATGTTTTAAGTAATGTTCTTTAATGTTAATAAATGGAGCACTGGAAGTAGCTAACCACTAATGGTAAAGAAATAAAGTGAGACGATTGGGAACACCAACGTATGAACAGTTAGTGCGTACATGTGAAAACATATCGTCATTTCTCTACATATGAATATGAAAGCAACACTTATTTACTGTTCATATATGTTTTAAATAATATTTACGAATGTAAAACACAAATTCTACTCGCCAATGGTGGTAAAGTCTAAAACATAAGGACAGCCAATGAATATTGTGCAAGTTTTTACTCAGATGATGAAGTCATCAGGTTCAACTCTGGCTGAAGCTGTAGCTTTCCATAAAGCTGTTGCTGAAACTGTTACTGAACCTGAAGTTGATGGTAAAGCTGCTTATGATGCTGAATTTGATGGTGTAGCTCAAGTTGATGGTTTAGGCACAGCTGCTTTCTTTTTTCATTATGCATCTTTATGTAGAGGTCATTTGCGTTTATTTAAATTTTAATGCTTTGTTCTGTTAATGGATCCACTTCAGAAAATATGTTCATTTCTTGCTCCATATAATATCCACAGACCTCTCACCTTTTTCATATCATTTTAACACATCTATTTTCTTGGCTAAGCTTATACACTTTCTATTAGCTTTTGAAACAACACTACCATCACTTGCTCTCTTGCTCATGTTGAATAGGGATGCAAAAATGCTGTAAGAAACCCGAGAAAGTGTGGTGTGAGATAAAGTGGATGATGTGGATGTGTACAATATACCTCTGGCAATGAAGTGGATATGTTCACAAAATCCACTTTGTTCTTGGGAACTTCATCACCAACACAACTGTTACTCAACATTGCTAAGGAACTGTGTGATTCCATCTAAATGGATGTTAGAATGAGATTCTTTCTCTTGGATTCTTTTTGTGGTAGCAGCCTAGTTAAATTCCACACATCTACACTTCTCAGGTAGTCAACAAACAAAATTTCTGAACCATAACGGTTTTATACGATATGACACGCTGGACTAAGAATTCTGAACAACAGTGATTAGTTACAGGTTTTATATGTTTTCCTGTTAGTTTCTCTGTATTAACTAAATGTGACATTGTATTGATTACACAAAGTATCACACAATCAGATATACCAACCTTGCCTATTGAACATGGCCTCAGTCAGTGATTGTTGCAAATGCCATCAGACCCAAGGGTGCAGAAAATTTTGTTGACTGTACAGTACATTACACACTAACTCAAATGATGAAATATTGAATAGGTATTTCAGTCAACTGCTTACTAAAATTTACAACTAAATTTTCCTATTTATTCTTTTTCAGTGGCAGCCAACACTAGGTCACTGTGTTCTTAAGGCAGCATTTGCTCCAGGGGCAAAGGAGCTCCAGGTATCACTTTTTCAGGCTCTTGTCCTACTGCTGTTTAATAAAGCAGACACACTCGCTTTAGCAGATATAACGTCTGGAACAAATATTGAGGTAAGTTAGTGGCTCGTTTTACACTCAGATGTGTTTATACGGGCTTATTGCATATATGTATAGTGAACTTTTTTAATGCAAATATTTTATAAGGTACAACAGGCTCTCTCCACCATCTCGCACTGTCCATCCCTTTCCCTCTTTATAGCTTATCATTACCCACCTTCTGTAAACATTTTAATGGTACAGGCCTCCCCCCCCCCCCCATCCCCACAAAAAAAAAAATTGCGGGGATTAGGTTCTCAAAATGGCCTCAAATCTCCAAATCCGCGAATAACATTTGCGGACCAGGGTGTACATTTTTAGTTGTGTACAAAGAAATGTATATTCCCTTTATGTGTCTGCCCTTAGGACAATTATGTCTTTTATCTGTAGTAGTGTGTGTGTGTAATAATAATAATAATAATAATAATAATAATAATAATAATAATAATAATAATAATCGGTTTATTGAAAAAGTTTGCAGCCCAAAGGCTGAAAATATACATTGGACACAAATGACTTATTACATACATTGGTGGTTTAACAAAAGCCTTCATTAGAGAAAGGTGAAGGAACATACAGTGAACATACAGATTAATGTTTACACACGTAGATCATGTAAGCTGAGGTGTTGAACAGCAGACACGTAGTGTAGTAACTCCCTCACAGATGGCTTTATGAGGGGCATCACGTGGAGTACTAGTTCCCTCACAGGTGGTGTTATGAGGGGCTTGACGTGGTGTAGTGATTCCCTCACAGATGGTGTTACGAGGGGCCTGATGATGTAGTAGTCACCTCACAGATGGTGTATGAGGGGCCTCATGATGTAGTAATTCCCTCACAGATGGTGTTATGAGGGGCCTGATGTGGTGTAGTAATTCCCTCACAGATGGTGTATGAGGGGCCTGATGTGGTGTAGTAATTCCCTCACAGATGGTGTTATGAGGAGCATCACATGGCGTAGTAATTCCCTTACAGATGGTGTTATGAGGGGCATCACGTGGTGTAGTAATTCCCTCACAGATGGTGTTATGAGGAACTTCACATGATGCTGTAGCAACTCATTCACTATGTGGTGTCTTAGCATCATGGGGACACCACGTGGTCTGAGGTGTGGTCCCAGGCCTCTCTATCGTGGAGTCTCAGGGGAATTATCACTGGGCACCTGGGACCTCACTGTGTGAAGGTTAGCTTGGGTAAGACTCAACTGCCGAGTTGTTTTTCACTGACTTAAGCACTGTTCACCACTATTCAACACTGGTTCCATTCCTTTCCCAAATGAAATGGTAACTTCTGGCGAGAACTTGTTGATATTCCGGGGGGGAGGAGGGTTGAGGGTAGGGAGTTGGTATGGGCCAACATAACAGTTGACGTGGCCTGCTGAGCAGCGCCAGGTGCGTCTGACCCGTCTTGACCCGTAGGTGGTCAAGGATGTGTGTGTGCGTGTGCGTGCGTGTAAAGGAAATTACTGTCTCTAGAACGAATGGCTCCCTGTCCCAGCCGCGAAAATTCCGGCAACTTTAAAACTGCCCACAGACATTCTTGGGTACATCCAGGGTGTCATCCGCGAATAACCGAGATCCGCAAACTTGGGGTGTATACTGTATATCCATTTATCCAGTGTTTACCTCACTAGATATGATGATGTCCTTTTCATTCAACCTTAGGATGGAGAGCTTCGCCGTACTCTGCAGTCCTTGGCCTGTGGTAAAGCAAGAGTTCTACAGAAGATGCCACGTAGTAAGGATGTTAACGATGAGGATAAGTTTACCTACAACAAAGACTTTACCAACCAGCTGTTCCGCATCAGAATCAATCAGATCCAGATGAAGGAAACGGTAAGATCTAGTACAGTACATGTAAGCAGAAATGTTTGATATTCAACAAAGCAAACTATGAGCTAGATGGTGTAGTAATAACATTATAACAAACAATGTGAATCATCACAGCACAGGATGTACCTGTGCAGTAATAAAAATATTAAAATTTTAGTGGCTTTATTAAAAGTTTATTTATACAGTAATAATATCCTTATAAATTAACACTAATTGGGGAGCATTATAAAGGCATATACCACCATTATTATACCGTACACCTTCCACGGTATTGAGTACCATTGCTAGGAGAGGCAATGTCCCAGCTGGGGGCTGTTATCATGTTTACACTAACTTGTAAAAATAAATAAATAAATAAATAAAAAAAATCTTTCATCATCGCTATTTATATGCTTTCATTGTTACTGTATATATGCCTACAATTTTATGGTTTGATGTTACAGTGTTAAAGCTACTTTTAGGGGTGAATGTAGCAAATTATAAATAGACAATGGTAACTCTGGGCCTGGAGGGCAAAAATATAATAATAATTATATTAATAATTGTAATTTATAAAAAAAATAATAATATTAATAATAAAAGATCAAGAGTGAGAAATAATATATGTATGCAAGTTGTGTTGTCAAAGTAAGAGAAACATTTGAGACCCTGTAATTGTGTGATCACTGCCAAGATGTGTTGGTGAGAGTTTGGTATCTTGTTACAAAATATGTCTAGGATTACCTGGTACTGTATATCTCAAAAGCTAGGGTTGAACTATACACGAGGTATATGAAAAAAAAACTTTTTTACCGAAAAAATGAGGGATTGAATTAAACATGTGGATAGGCTTATATACGAGTACAGTATATACAGTATTTGAAGAATGGAATAAGCTGATTGAGAACATTAGAGATAGGCCATTCAATAGGAAGAGAATACCCAAGCTTATTGTTCTTAAAGGTGGAAGGATCTGCGCTGTAAACCTGACTGCAGGCAAAACACATGATGATAATGAATGAAGATCTATACTTCCTTGTTCATCATTGTCATCTGAAAATTATTTTTATATATTATTAAAATTGGATGGTCAGCTCAATTTGGTGTTTTATTTATATTTGTCAGAGTGAAGAGCAGCAACAGACAGAGGAGCGAGTTTTCCAGGATCGCCAGTACCAGATTGATGCAGCCATTGTTCGTATCATGAAGATGAGGAAAGTTCTGCCTCACAATCTTCTCATTACTGAACTTTACAACCAACTGAAATTCCCTGTTAAGGTATGCTATTTTGTATTATGATCATCTACAACCCATATGCTGGGTTTTTTGCAATACAAAGCAATGGTTGCAGTGGGTTTTGTTTTTAAAACAAGGTTTTATAAATACTGTCAACAAAATGTAAGAAAGTCAAAAAGATAAACCTGTCTTTCCTTAATTTTTACTAATATGAATGTTCCGATTAATGTGTCCTTTAACTGGTAAGTCTATATTGAATGCTTTTTGCAAAAAGGTCTCAGTATGATTAATACTAAAAAACAAAATAACTTGCCAGTGTTGGCATCCTTCCACATGTATTATATGGAGAAGTGAGGGTTCAACCCTGCAAAGCCTCTTTTATATGGCAGAGAAAAAACTATATTGTAGGGATGGGTTGACTAGCTGTACAGTACATGTGTATCCCAGAAGTCTGATAAGCTTAGACATGGCAGGAACCATAGATGAGAATGGGAAATTTTAAACCATTGCCATAAAAATCAAAATGCAACACTGTAACAATTGTCAAGAATATACATATGTTCTGTAACTGTGTGCCAATCATCTTGATTGAATTAATCAATGGACAGCAAATTATGATAGAAAAATTACAATATACCGTACTGTATTAAAAATTCAGTACTGTATTTTTTTTTTTTTTGTGTGTGTAACAAGACCTTGTTTATGAATACAGTGAACCCTCACTTTACGCGGTTAATTGAACCCACGGCGGCCCGTGTAAAGTGAGAAACGCGTAAAGTGAACAACATAACATATGGGATTAATTGAAATAGAGACCTGGCCGACCCCCAAACTCCACCTTTTCCCGACACAATACGAATGTTTTACTAAAAATAACCTCTTAACTTTATGATGGTATTCACCCACACATAATATAGAAGGGAACAGTCAATAAGAGAAGAATATAATGAAGGTTAGGTTAGAAAAAAACAAGGCTGGGGTTAACACTTACGTCAGTAGAAGAGATGGGTCGGCGTAGGGGAATGGAGGCTGGTTCCGAGGCAGAGGGCAGGCTACTGGCCCTCAGGTGAGTCTTCATCGGTGTCATCCACACTTACTAGTGCCTCCCTGACAAATCCCTCTAAGTCATCATCACTGTCTCCACCTCTGTCACTATCACTGGCTTGGGCTGGCTTTGGTGGGTTGCGGGCGAAGAACTCTGTTATGCTTTGCTGACGGCTGGTGTTTATGTTGTCGTGATAAACCTCGATGTAGGGCTCCATAGTCTGCAACAGCTGGGTAGTGAAGATTTCATACCTGTTTGCGTCAGGGTCGTCGGAAAGGAGGAGCTTGGCTTTCTCGATACACTCGATGGCACCCCTAACATTATTATGGGATAAGCGGCGTTCTTCTTGGGATGACGCACCACCTGCCTCTTCACTGACGTCATCATCATCTACCATCTCGTTGGTAGTCACATCAGGATCCCTTATCACCTCCAGGATGTCATCGTTGGTGGTCTCGGAGAAGCCTGCAGCTGTAACACTCTGCGCAGCTTCTCTGGCAAGGTCCACTGCTACTGCAACAGTCTGAACCTCACCAGTCACAGATTGACTCTGCCTAACGGCCGGAATGCCTTGCAACACATGTCTCCATGCGTGACGAACGGTTGCTGCAGACAGCTGATCCCATGCCTCCACCAAGAAGTCCACAGCTTTCTTGACGTTGAATGTTCTCCAAAATTGTTTTAAAAGTACTTCTTGCTCTGCCAACTGTTGATCCTCGTTGTCTTCGCTCTTGTTATCGGTGTTGGTGTAGTCGTTCAGGAGCTTGAATTTTTTAGTAGAGAATGCAGCTTTTACATTACAGATTAACTCTTGGTCCATGGGCTGTAATATAGACGTAATGTTGGGAGGAAGGAAGACCACTTTTACGTTGGGGTGACGATCTAACAGTAGGGGCGAGTGTCCTGGTCCGTTGTCCAGCAGCAACAAAATCTTGAATCGCACATTCTGTTGCTCACAGAATTTCTTCGCATCGGGAACGAAACAGTTATCAAACCAGGAGAGGGACAGTGTAGAGAACATCCACGCCTTACGTGCGGTCACCAGTGGACATTTAGCTTGGTCATGTCCATGCTCTTGTAGGCGTGCGGCTTGCGTGCTGTGTGGATCTCCGATAACTTGAGCTTACAGGTACCGGAGGCATTGGTGGTAAACAGGATGGTGATGCGCTCCTTCTGCAACTTCTGGCCCCGACACTTGCTGGCATTCTTCACACCGAAGGTCTTGGAAGGTAGCTTTTTCCAAAAAAGTCCAGATTCGTCCATGTTAAACACCTGGTCGTCGGTGTACTGTCCTTCCTCCATAATCTCACGTAAAAACGGAGGAAATTCCCTAGCCTCAACACGGTCAGCACTAGCTTCTTCACCCAATGTTGATATTGGTGATCTTGTTCCTCTTCTTAAACCTCTGTAACCACCCAGAGGAAGCATTAAAGGGTTTGGGCTCTGTAATTCCCATCTTTCGTGACACTGCAGCATACAGTTCATGTGCATACTCCTTAACTGAGCGCGTGTCCACTGCCATGTTCCGTTGCGCCTGACGCACCAAGTAGCTCACAAGTAATTTTTCCGTTTAGAAGCACCTGGTTGTGGAAATGCTTGATCATAGAAGCACCTGTAGACTTTGTGATGTTCATGTGCTCCTTTATCTTGGCTGCATCCTTCTTAATTGTCCTGATAGTTGATTCGTTAACACCATGCTGGCGCGCGAGATCAACCTGTCTTGTTCCTTTCTCCAACTCTTGTATGATCTTATATTTGATTTCGTAGCTTAAGGAACGTCGTGTCTTCTTTGGCTTAGGGCGGCTGGGTCCAGGTAATGCAAGGTTTCTTTGTGGTGGTGGTGGTCCGGTGGAAGCCATTCTTATGGAACAATGGATACCGATATACACGGTGTAGCCGGGAGGGGTGTAACTGACGCGGGTAGGTCAAGGGGCTTGAATGCTCCCGCGGCGGGGCACGTCATAGTACATTAAACCAATCACAGCTAGCGGGGAGGGAGGTAAGGATGCTTTGCCCAGTCACAGTCCGCTACGTCATATGACGTCACCGATAACGCAACAAAGACATACACTGCGCAACTACTCGCGCCCCTTACACAACATGGCGGGAGGTTTGGATCCAAAAATGGCGCGGCGCAAGAGGACCGCTAGCCGCCCTCCGCATAAAGGGGTACACACACCGCGGAAAGTGAGCATTCCGTGTTCGGCAGGGTACCGCGTAAACGTGTAAACACGTAAAGTGAGGGTTGACTGTATACTGTATTTATGAACTTCATTTTTATTCCTGTATTGCACTAACCTGTTCAAATATTTTTTTCTAGCCTGCTGACCTGAAAAAGAGGATAGAGTCTCTCATTGACCGTGACTACATGGAACGAGACAAGGACAACCCTAATACCTACAACTATGTGGCATAATTACCACTACAATGCTTACTCCTGGTATCCTTGTGATATTTCTATTACACTATAACTTTAATTTTTGCCTCTGACATTCTAATTGTCGGTGATAGGAGTTGGGAGCCATGGATTGTGATATTTACTGTGCATCACAGAATGTGACACTTTGTAGACTGTTTAGCTGACATGTTCCCAATTGCCATGAGACTGTTAAAATCAATTGCAGCACTTCTTTGCCATAGAAAAAACTCACTCTCGACAATGTTGCAATATTACTGAATGGGAGGCCTTTACCCGTCTGCAAAACGTGGTCTTTGAAGCTTCCCACTGCCCCCCAGTGTACAAGTTAGCACATATGGTGAAAAGTGATTGGCCCTTTTTGAGTTATTTACTGAAGGAACAACATCATTAAGTTTGAACTTTTAAGTGATAAACCCAGTTTTATGTTTTCTTGAAGGGAAAACACCATGAAAAATAAATTTTTCTTTGGTATTATTGGAACAGGACTGCATTACATGATTACATTATTATGTTTCAGTTTCTTATTACAGAGTAATTAAGGATGAATTCCTTGTATTTGCTCATATTTCTATGCTCATTTTGGCCCTATCCATATAGGTTATCTAAACTTTGAAATATGGACTCTGATGACAGTTCTCTGAAAGTCAAATAAAATATACAAGTACAATTAATGCAACAGGATACATAAGCATAAAGCTCCACAACTATATATAAATCTTTATAATGTCAGTGATGCAGGTATATAAATGCTTAATCACTGGATATAATTTTTTGAGTTGTAGCATCTACATGAATAAAATATTGTACATGAAATGTATGCAGAGGAAGTTAAATCAGGTATTATCTCTTGACCTTCATAAATTACTTGTGTGTGCTTAACCATGGCTGCATTATGGTAATGTAGATTATTACAACTTTTTCTAGATTTCTGTTATGGCAAAATAGCTATTAGACCATCTTATACATTGTTTAAAGTCAGGGTCCAGGTTCTCGGAGTTCATACAATGATATATTTCTCATAAGTGAACATGTAAGAATGCACTTAACTGGTTGACATAAGTTGAAATACAGAAATACCCTTTCAACAAAAATGGCATTAAAATTAGTACTTACCTTAACTGGATACAGTCACTTAGCACCTGTCAATAGACAAAACTCATCTGCAGTAGCATTTCGGTGATTCTTCGCATTAATTTCGCTCCCTGACCACGGCTAAATGAACATTTTAATGCTATTTGTAGACAGTATTTTTGTGCCTTAGGTTAGGTGCATTCTTACACTTTTATTTATGAGGAATAATCATCTTACAAACCTCGTGAGAATCTGGAACTAAGCTTGGCTGCTTCATCAGATGTCAGAAAGACCTTAAAACTGAGTCTTATATATCATGTTGGGACTTCTTGCTAGAAAGAGGGGCAATAACCTGTTGTGTTTTTGTAGCCCCTGAGTGCTGTGGCCTGGCAGCATTTCATCATAACTCTCCACCCACTCGTACTGCATTGAAACAACCTTGTGGTGGTTGTGAACCATCATTCTCATCTTGCACCGATCCATGGAGTCATTGACAATGCTTTAGCCATCATTAACCCACTTCCCCCAATAACATAAAAGTTTCTTTTCATTTCCTCTTTGGATGTCTGGACAGAGGGACTTGTTAAGACTGTTGAACATGAGTTATGGTTACAAGTTTATTTGGGGACCTTATTAAATTTAGCCCATGTGGTGTGCCATTTGTGTATTGCATCCAGATAGTGCTTTGTGAATAATCAGAAAAAAATGTGTGGTAATTCGTTTATTTATTTATTTATTTATTTTTCAATTTAGTGATAAACATAATCGCAGTGAAACATCTGAGTTACTTGGAATGAAATAAGGAGTTATAGAAGTAAATTAGTGTATCTCTTCATTGTGTGTCTTATGTATGATGATAGCCTGGTTATTGAATTGGCTCTCAGCAGCTTTATGCACTTGTACAAATTTAAGATACAGTAGTTTTAGTACCGGTAATTTATGTATCAGCCACAATCAGTCAGCTACCTAAACATTTGTGACATTTCAAAAAGAACTTTGACTTTTTTATCTTTTATCTGATGTTAAGCAGTGGTAATGAGTAATTTTATTACTGCACCTTAAAGGTAAATTATAACACTAAAAATTAATACATTTCTAGGTGAGGAGGCTTTGTAACTACAGTAGTATGTATGATATATCAAAGAGTGCCTGCAGTACAGTATTGTAGTTTTTAGATACCTACTGGGCACTTGTAATTACTTGTAGATGTGAACGAAACAGATTAATATAAATGCCATATTACACTTGTGTTTTGCAGCCAAATTTGCTCTTCTTAGTACTTGGCAGTTACCTTTACGATATTATATATATATATATATATATATATATATATATATACTGATAACCACAAGGAAAAAGAAACACGAAAGTTCCCCAATGACTTTAGAGTGCAATTCACATCTTCAGGGTGAGTACAGACTATGCTCACACAGAAATATGACAGAACATTCTTCAACAGATATAACATATATATGCTTATATATATATGTATATATATATATATATATATATATATATATATATAATATATATATATATATATATATATTATATATATATATATATATATATATATATATATATATATATATATATATATATATATATATATATATATATATATATATATATATATATATATATATATATATATTATATTATATATATATTATAGTGCAGTGAGAGAGACTTATTTAACCCTTAAGCAATGGCAATCATCAGTGGAAGTTAGCTGTAGGGATGGCAGCCATCATCTGTGGAAGTTAGCTGTAGGAACAGTGACCATCATGTGTAGAGGTTAGCTGGAGGGACGGCAACCCTCATCTGTGGAAGTTAGCTGTAGGGATGATGACCACCATCTGTGGGTGTTTCATGCTTCTTGCCTTCCTATTTTGCACATACAGTAAAACTTCGATTAACCAACTCTCGGATTAACCGTCAATCCCGAACTCCTAATTTTTATTTTTTATTTTTATTTTTCTCTCCACGGGGATTAGCCCACCCGGGCACAGGTCACTGACCCACATCTGGGCCTGGGGAGGCGATAATGTAATAATATCAATAATGATAATTATAATAGTAATAAAGACCCATAAGAAATAAAAAATGAAAAAAAAATCAATAGTGAGAAACAATATATGTATGTTGTGTTGTCAATAGTAAGAGAAGCAATTGAGACCCTGCAATTGTGTGTAAATGAGGTAGAAAGTCAGATGAGCAACCTGGGACTTGGTCACAATTTTTGTGATGACATGTTCTTTGACTTTTCCATTTTTTATTCAGTTTCTGTGCTGGTTCATATTTATTTACTAAAGTGGTTAATGTTTTAAAGCAAATTCTATTGAAATATGAATGGCAAATGAACAAAAAGGAATAGAGGGAATTAAATGAGGAAGGTTAGGGAAAGGTACTTTGAAAATGTATGTTTTATTTCCGTAGACTTAATGTACTATTAACCGACCTTTCGGATTATCCGTCGGCCGCTTCCCCCCATATGTGGTCGGTTAATCGAGGTTTTACTGTACTGGGGGTTAAAGGCTAAACATTAGTTTATATCCAAGTATACAAAGTTGAAATGTGTATTGTTAAAATATATCAACCTTTCTTCTCAAGCTAATTGTGCTGGATGCTTAAATATCAGTAAGTGGAATCACCCACACACATCGAGATTGTGTGAAGCAGTTTAACTGTCATATTTATGAAGCAAATTATCCTTGATTAATAGGTAGAAGCTGAGGGAAATGTGAGCATTTTCTCATTATATATACACGAGGCAAAAACAACAAAAGATGTAATTAAGATTGGGAAGTCGGTAATTCTTCAGATGATAATGAGTTGAAGTGAATGAGGCCAAAGAAAGAACCAAAAGGCACAACCTTCTGAGTGACTTGAGGTTAACCATTGCATTACAGTACGTACTTAATAATAGGCAGCAGTTAGTAAGGATCCCCTGAAAAGCGATCTGTAAGTAGATTGTGATTCATATTGCATTGCAAAAATTTTCAAAATGGCAAAGACCGTGTATTAACTTAAGGTTAAATTGTGTATGAAAACAGTCATGTACTGACTGAGAAAGGATTGTGCTTAATTGCGTGCTGTATATTCGCTAAATTTGAGTTATACTCACAAGCAGATTATTTTTAACTAGTACTGTATGGGTTTTTATTAAAAGCCTGTGAAATATTGATGCATTATACTCAAACTGTCTTTACATTAGCAGCACATGTTTGACTTACTCACAAGAGAACAAAATGCACTATATTTATAAAATTATCTTTAAATCACCATTACAATAATTTGGGGTATTTAATATCACAGTTTGTAATAATTGGCAAATAAATTACTAGAGTAACAAAACATGATAAAAAACTGTTACAATAAAATTTAACAAAGTTATGTACAATATAGCAGAAACTCTGTGCTCTTTTCTCCAGGCCACACGTGAAAAGCTGAAGACTAGATACTCGAATCTTCTCCAGGGGGTCTCTTAACACTTTAAGTAACAGCATTTGAGTACTGTACTGTATGTAATGTACTTTGTTTGGAGTTAAAATATACAGACCTACTGTTGTACCCATTTACAGAACTCAGTTAAGAGTTTTTAATCATTCCAGTTATAAAACAAGTCTATTTAACAAACATAAATATTCTGTGAAACAACTTATCTTTCGATACATGTTTTGATTAAATTTCAATATTTTGATAATAAAGTTCAAAGTAAAATCCCGTATTACTTATGGTAATCGCAATTAATAAAAAGTAAAATGTAGTGATACAGTACTGTACTTCCATGTTGCTTATGAAAGTGATATCCCTGTTAGCCGGAATAATTGGTGCAGAGCTTTTCTGGGGATGAGAGATTTCTGGGGTAACAAGATGACTTTCAAATCCGGAAAAAGCCCACATCCTGGAGTTTTTCCGGGTGCTGGGAAAAGTTTCTCAGAATTTTGCAAAAAATGCACTTTACTGTACTGTATTTCATCCTTGGAATTTGCTCCCAGACCTGGAAAAAATTAAGAGAGTCTGATTTTTCCAGAATTACACATTATTTTCCTTGGAATTTACTCCCAAACTTGAAAGAAAAAAAATTGGAGAGAGTTTCCTGATTTTCCAGGAATTTTCCATAATTACGCATTATTTCATCCACGGAATTTTCTTCCAGGCCTAGAGAGAAAAATTTGAGACTTTCCCAGAAAATGTGCCTGATTTTCACCCTCAGAATTTGCTCCCAGGCCAAGGGAAAAAAATGGGGGGGGGAAGAGACTTTTGGGAATTTTCTAAGAAAATTAACCTGATTTTCACCCTCAGAAACTCATTCACAGACCTGGAATTGGGAGAATTTTTCTGCAAAAATTACGAGCCAATTTCAATTCTGGGTATAAGTATCCTCCGGGTTATGGAATTTACAAGTTTAGACTTAAATTTTGGGTTACAGAAAAAATTTCACCCGTACGGAATTTTGAAAAAAATTCAAATTAAAAAAAAAAACTATTTTTAAATATTAAAAAAAAAAAAAATAGTAAAAAATGTTGTGTGAATGCATCTGTGGTGGCCACAAGGTGGTTGGAAGGCCGCTCACCTCCCCAGTTGCCGGCATTCACCACAACAATGGAGCTGCTCAGGTAGAGTTCTTTCCCCAGCTTGTGTTCAGTTATGCATCTGTGTTTAGGACTTTATTTGCCCTTTTGGAGTTTTGGTTAATTTATTAATATTTTCAAAATAAAAAAATCACGAAATAGAACTAAAAATTTCACCAAAATTATAACATTTATTTCGTGTAAATGCTGGCTCCGCTCTCCTGCCTCTCCAGTTGGTAGCAGCCACAACAATTGGCACTGCTCAGTTTGAATTCTTCCAGTTTGTGTTCAGTTATGTGTCTGTGTTCCTGTGTATCCTTATTCAAGGCCATAAGTTTAAGTGAAAGCAGTGGTGATAAAAGATTCCATAATGAAATTCAATTGGACATTAAACTTGATGTTTTAAGGAGGTAACTCCCAGTAACTGATCCCACAACCTCACCTCACCACCTTCTGCAGCACTCAACATTGTTTCTAGTAAGTAAAATTAGAGCATTTTATTCATTTATTATCATGTTACATCATGAATGACTCATTGTATGTGGTTAAAACCATCTAATTTCATACTTATATGTGCTTGTGTCACATTTTTGGACCTCAATTTTTTTTTTCTGGAAAGCATCTCAACTTTTAAATGAAAGTATGGGTTATATGGGAAAAATGGCTTTGCGTTACGGAAAGATTTTCAGGAACGGAACTCTTCTGTGACCCGGGGATACCAGTATTTGAGAGTTCTGGCTAAAGGAAATACCTATATTACTGTCGATTGTAATTTTTTATTTCAGTCCTACCTTGGGTGGACAAAACAAAAGTAGTGTGCTACACAGGTTATGCTTCAAAAATCCAAACATCACTTATCTGAAAACTTAAAAAATCCGAAGAAAATTTTGAGTGATATAACTATTGTTAATTTTCCGCGCTCAAGCTAGTTTGCTGACCCACCGAGTGATGCCGTTGTAGCACACTCAGCTGACTGCAGAGGTAAATAAACAAAGCTATCTTCACTGGGCATATGTTTATGGTATTAGATTGCCTTCACTAAAGCCCAATTATGGTATGTCTTCAAATACTGGAGCACACACTAAGCAGGATACAAGTGCAGGCGCCACTTATTAAGTATCCAGGAGAAAGTAGAGCTAGTTAAGGCATGTCGGTTTGCCAGGTGTGTGAGTCATACAGTGTAAGCACAACAATTGTTTTTGTTATTAAGTTTGTAATTATCATACAGTAATTTATTTGGTGCTTAGTGAAATACATGTATTTAGGATTTTTTATAATGACCTAAAGTTATCCAAAATGGCTCTGGTCCCAAGCATTTCGGATTTTTTAAGTGCATCCTGTCGTGTACTTAAGTTTTATGCAGACTGAATTCTGCAATGAATGGTAATTACAACTTGGTCGTTTAGCACACTTCTTTACCATGGGAAAGACATTTGTTGTTAGTATTGTATGTTGTGAGTGTGACACTGAGTTGTTTTAAGTTATTTTGTCAAATATTTTCAGAGTTAAAATAATATTTCTGATTGTAAAAGTTAATATTTCACAAAGAATTTTACCAGTGCCTGCTGTAGTATGTGTGTGTG